CTGTGCGGATCGGGTGCAGACTGAGACCAAGAGCGACATGCTCAGAGACAATGTGGCAGAGTTAGGCACGGGCCTGGTCTTCTGAAGGCCAAAGCTTTAGAGCACACGACTAGAAAACTCTGGAAACCTTCTGATGAAGAGTCCGGTGAAACTGCAGCCTTGGCAGTGGGCGGGTGGAGATACCTGAGCCGTCATTTGAGACGTTTGAAATCTCAACTTGAGGACATGGGCGGATCAGCCCCTAGCTCCAACCCTTCCTCTACAGAATTGGGCCAGAAGTCAAATCTAGCAGGGCCTCCCATCCGTCTGGACTGCCCGATGAAATGCCTTCAAATCCAGCAGATGTATCTCAATGGGCGGCTGCAAAGCTTTTCCGGACTGAAGCCAGAGATGATATGATGGCAGCTTGATTGGAGACTAGCCTCGTTTGTAAGCAGCAACTTCTATCCTGCGATGCACCTCAACTGGGATGATTGCATCCCGAAGTTAAATCTCCACGGCCAAGACAAGTGCATCAAAAGAAGCTGTACCTAGCCAGTGCACATGAGCTTGTACCCAAACCCAAGTGCGCAAGCAAAACCTGACCGGACAAGCCCCGCGACAGCAAGTCCATCAGGAGAAACCAGGCCATGGGACCCCCAACCAAATCACCAAAAACCTGAAAAGGAGCAAAAGACAAGTAATGCCATGCTCGCTGGAAAAAACAAACCGGAAAAGCCAGCATGACCGCTTGGCACGCAACTAAGCTGCGCTTTCGTCAGCGCTGGACGCTCATACGGTGGAACAGGTTCGGCGGTCACCTTAGCTCAGAAGCTGTGCTTTGGAGCACCATGAGTCCTGCTATCACTTTTAGAACTTCGCCCAGCGCCATGGAGTTAAAAGGATGCCGCCGGAACAGCGCAAGAAGGAGCGGGTGGATGCTTCTTTGAGTATTGTCCGGCAAGTCTTTTGGACTGCAGACCCTGAATCCATCCAACTCTCCTTCTTGGAAACTCAGAGACTGAGAGCTATGGGAACCTTCCAGTTCTTGGGCAATGTGCATTTCGGGCACCTCGTTGAGCACATCGGGTTTGCCAGGACGGAAGTTCGGACAGCTGTTTGATGTAGTGAGACCGCGATTAGCACACATCTTGAAAGCAGTTCCAAAACATAGAAACTAGGCGCTAAACCAAAAACCCCAGCGTTGAAAGTGCATGTGGAATGCGGCTGTAATCCTACCCTCGCTGGAATCGAACGGCGCTGTCCAGCCAAGATGCCACAGCGACCTTGCTGGCCGCTACGCCCTGGGCCGCAAACCTGAGATCTGCTTCCAGACCTTTAGAAAGAAGACACGTAGACAGCCCAAAGCCTGGTGCTGCTGAATGCTGACGACAATCTGAAGTTACGTTTGGCTTCTGCTGGGCCAAGGAGCTCGCGGCAGGCGTATCCTGCGGCGTTGCCACCGCCTCCACTACAGCTAATGGTGATTCTGCTGCTTACTTGCTTCGCTCCAACGAAGCCGTGAGTTCCTGGAGCTCTGTGGACCAAGGCTTCGAACTAATTTGATCTGTCGATTAGCTTGATTGGCCGCGTCTGAGTGCAACAGCTCTTTGATAGTTTGTGTCATCAGAACAGATCTGCCCGCAGGATGCCGGGTCACGCAACTGCTGGTGAAGCATTAGTCCGAGCATCCAAGCAGGCAGAGTGGCTTAGGCCGTCTTCAGGCATCTGGCAGTCTAGCATGGCTGCTGCTGGAAGCCAAGGGAGTGCTAGCGGCTCAAATGTCACTGCAGTAAAAGTCTTCGTGGCGAGAGGCACTTGCTTCTAGGACCCTGCTAAAAATTCAATCCTCTGCCATGCCATGTGTCCAGCACTGGGGCTCCCTGCCAACAACCACGTACTCAAACTGCCTGTCACATGGCGCAAGGTGTGTCTCACGACTGCTTAGTTCCAGACCTACATATGCAAGCCGATATTTTTGCAAGGACCGACCGTTGTCTAGAGGCGCGCAGCCAAAACTTAGTTTGTTAGTTGGACATTGATGCGATTCCAGCCTTCCATCACATGTATTTGGAGCGGATGGCTGAGTGGTAATATTCCACTTCTTTACTGCCCGATCTCATGGACCAGATTGCTACTCCGATTCGGACTTCCAACCCAACTGAAAAGTCTTCCGTCCCGCGCTTTGCCATTCGGTGTAGGGCGCGGCGCATCCCGGGCTGTCTGTGAGCCAACGCTTGCGGTGCGCACGGCTCTCATCGAGAGGCTCCAGCTGGTAGTGTAGTATGAGCTACAGTGCGTTGTGACAGCGGCAAGTTAACACATTCAGCCCTGGCACTGACTGCACCCTCACCTGCTTATACTTCACCTGTGGAAGCAGCGGCGCTCATGCCGTGGACCATTCAGTGATCGAAGCTTATATCGCGAAGATGCTGTAGGCTGGCATTATCTACTGTAATCAACTCTTGCCATCTGGGTTTGCCATTTCTTTTGTCACTGCCATTGGCTGTGTCGCCTCCCCACCTTGGGCGGTTGCAGGCTGTCCAGGAACCTGTTTTGTTTCTGATGATCCCGACTTTGACCGAGCTTGACCTACAAGTTGCAGAAGACCCCATGAAACCTCTGTGCTTCAGAAACTCACAACAGAAACAAGGCATGGCTCAGGTAATTCCGGTCTGCAATCCTGTGTCCTCTCCCGCATCTTGGTACGTTACTCCTTCATCTTTGCATTCTTCCCAATTCAGAATGTCAGACATTCCAAAGGCTCGCAGATGCCTGTCAGTGTGAGACCTATGGCATGCCACGGGAGCAAAGGCTTCGATACTCTTCAGGAGGGACTTGTTGTTCTCAAGTATGGCTCATGGAAATGAAAGCCTGGCACCTCTTCTAATGCTCAAAGCAGACCATAGCTTGCTGAGCAGTTCAGGTGTTGGGGTCTGATCAACGACACATCTGCGATCGTGTTTGGAGCATGGGGCGAAGCAAAAAGCGCCGCGCGTGGCAGACTGGCAGTTGTGAATAAAGCGAGAAAAGACATCCTCAACTGGACAACAAGCCAAGCAGCAGAGTCCTGGAATTCAGAACATTGATTGGCCCATGTGACAAGAGTAGATCTCCACTTAGGGATGTCATTTTCTGGCAGTAAACCCCTACCACAGGAGTCCCTAAGGGCAACTTCTCAAGTGGCAAAGCAGCACAGAAGCAACTGAGAAAAGCTTCGCCTGTCACCTCCTAGTCCTAGAAGCGAGCGCAGGATGCGTTACAACTCCACTTCCGTGCTGCTTTACAGGGGATGTGAGCAAGAAGCTGGCTGCTAGCCTGTGAGCGTTGAGTGAGGTCAGGGCATTTAAGGTCTTCTCAGGATGCTCTATGATGCACAAGCTAGCCAGATGAGGCCAGCGGGAAAACGCCAGTCACGCAGGTAGTGACAGGTCAACGGCTTTCTCCCTCCACCTGGCAAGCATGAAGCAAGGATCATTGGAAGACCTCCGTGGAGCTTGCAGGGTCGTGTGCCAGCTTGGATTCCCTGGTGTAGGTTGTGCCACAGTCAAACCAACGGCATAGCTAGTGCCAAACCAAGGGCATAGCCAGTGCGGAAATAAAGGAATGGAGGCCATAATGACTTGACATACTTGCCGTAAAACACGGCGTGCCATCTTCGCATCTGAAAGCTGAGATTGGGACGTTGGTTTGGGGTGTTTCTCGTGCCATCGCTGTCGAGCTTCCACTGCCCAGACCTGAAGCATGGCAATATCTGTTCGCCTTATTGATGCAGAACTGCAGCACGTGTCCGCCCAGTATATGAACACTTGCACACCCTGGAGCTTCAGCCAGACAGCAGAGAAAATTGACTGATGATGCTGCAATCGCACAATGCGGCCTGCCTCCTGCATGCGTGCGTTCCTGACGAGCACGTCTCATTTTGGGGGAATCCGGAATTCTTGCACTGGAAACGCAGCACGACCATGTCAGACTTCAGGGCGGGTCTGAGCATGCCTTGGTTGCGGTTTGCGCTACTGTAACTGCTAAAGTGCATGTCATCGATAAAAGGAAGCTGCTCGATGCCACCCTCTGAGCATAGCGTGCAAACCCTCACGAGAGGATGACGCCGCATACTTTCAACATTCAAATATATTCAAATCCACTACGGCTGTCACGCCATCCTGGCAAATTCTCCCGCCTAATGCCATGGAAGGCTTGTCTGTCGTGAATGCGGCTGGTGGGACAAAGCCACCTGGCAAGCTGTCACAAGACGACAGAGAGGGCAGGCTGAGGCTACCTTTTAGAAGCTGAAGAACAGAAGTATCCGATGTGGACCTCATGGGCACCCAGCAACCTGCATGGCACATGTGAAAAGCCTCGTGAAGGATACATCGCCGGGATTTTGGCCCTGCGGTTGGTTCCTCAGGCTGCAACATGTACAGAACGATCAAGTCTGCTAAGACGGGTCATGATGGGCACATCCGATGCATTCAGCTTACCCAAGATCCTGAAAGATCCTGAAAGGTCGTGGGACGTGAGCCCAGTTTGCGACCAGTGGTTAAGGGGGCCGCTTGGTGCGGTGGGCGGGTGGGGGGTTGGGGGCGGGGGCGGGTGGGGGCGGGGAGGGGCAGGGGAGTGGATAATATTCGTCCCATAACAGCTGTCAGTAGCAACACATACTGTCCGAATTTCGTGACGAAAGTAAGCTACATGACAACATCATATTGAGAGAGGGAAACAGGCAGGTCTTACTAACCACATCTTCAGGCAAGTCACAGGTCTCTATGGCTTGCGTTTGAGTGCATGCGCATTGTCAGCAGGAATATTGAATGGGATAACACACGAACGATTGGAGAGCTCCATCCACTGTTGGCGTCAGCTTGCACGTGTGCCAAACCAACTCAGCAAATGTGTGAATATGTCCAACTGGACACCATTACAACCCATGGGGACCGGTTACGGAGAGCAGTACATTGGTGACAGCAAGAGGTCAAATACGGAGCGCGCTACTTGGCACGTCAGGCAAACCATCGCAAGGCTCATGTAGCATAAAATATCATGAATTCTTGTCTGCTTTGAAACGACTGAACCAACACCCAGACATTCCATGCTTGTCGGCTTGTCGGGTGCCAGCTGCGGAGCGGACGTGTGCTGGCACATGCTGCCGGGCTGCAGCGGCTCATGTTGCCGGGCGAAATTCTGCCTCCACCTCTTGCGCACCTGCGCAGCTTGTGCAGCTGCAGCATAGGGGCCAAGACTCTTCAACGACGAGCCTCCAGGTCCCACTCTTGAGCTTGCCGCGCTTCCTGCAGATAGGCAAGCAACAATGAGAAAAAAGTCGACAGAATCTGTCGAGCTGAGTTTTGACCCAGACCTTCTCCTGCGGATCTTCAGCAACCTGAGCATGACCTCGCGAAATCTTCAGTGACAATTTGGGTCTGCTGAACATCTCAACGTTTTATGGAGCAATTGTAAGCTGATCTCTGCACTGCAGAGCCCGATCATAAACGGGGCTTGAAGGGAGGACGTGAGCTCTGACATAGCTTGTGCGGGTGATGGCTGCTGTCACTTGGAGCCTGGTCCCGTGATTTGCAACACAGGCACTTGAAGATGAGTCATAGAATTTGCTGTTGCCCGCATTCCCTCAGCTGCGCCTTTGCTGGCTAGCTTGGCTGCCGCTGCGGATGCAGCAACGAGTCCTGCGAGATAAGCGGCTTCCATGCGTGAGACGGTACAACATAGTTTGCTGAATTGTTTATCAGTGCGGCACTTGCAAGTGAATACAGCCTTGCATGTTGGTAAGGGCCCTTGAGAAAATTTCAGTCACCTGGCGATTTGCAGTCAGGTGTCAAGAGCAAGTCGTGATAATGTTCGTAACGCATCTTTCCTGCACTGCCCTCATCTGCCATGGCTGGTCAGAACATACAGCGCAGAAGCACAGTCGGGAAATCAGTCCTAACCCCTGAGCTTGGAAGTGAATTCTGAAGAGTTTCTGGGGTCAGCCCTTTCACGATCGGCTGTGTTGCTTGTGCTGAGTGCTGAAGTAGTGATATCGCTGGAGCAGACGCGTCATTCTCATGGAAACTTGCTGATGCACATGCAACACTTACTCTGGCACCCCTTGCAACCGCAAGCTATGTCCTTGAGAGTATGCATCGAGGTTTCATGCAGACCTGAACACTCGCTCCCCCCACCCTCGCAAAGAGCCATGGGCAAGCATGGGTTGGAAAAAGGATTGGCGACCACCCTACAGTGTAACACAACTTGAAACTGATGCTGGATTCAAAGGTTGGATAGCGACTGTGATTTCCATAATCAGTGCACTTAAAGCTGCTGAGTCATGAGGGACACAGTGAGCGCGGCTCGTGCGCCAATACAACCAGGTCCCACAGAGATGCGGGCATGATTCTATAGTGCGCCGATCAAGTTTTTATAGAAACTATCATAGCGGTCTTTCACATGGCCTACCATCTGCTGCTCGTGCTTTTTTTGTCACGCGCGGCTTCGCATTCCCGATCGCTCAGCGTCCCAAGCGTCCTGAAGGTGGGGCCGCAGTGATAAAGAAAGTGTGGCTGGGCAGGCTAACATTACGCGGGATCCCAGAATTTAGGTAGCTTCCGTGACTGCAATTGATTGTCATGCTGAGAAGCCAGCAGGCATATCTGATGGAAACCACAGGCATGCTTCAGAAGTCGAGCGTTGACGGCCCGAGATTTAGCTGCATGCGCCAGCTCGAGAGGCACGGAAATGCGAATTTAGCATGCGGCGCGCCTTGGGTGGAAGTTTCATGCCCCGAAAAGTTCTCAGCCCCTCTTCAAGGCCACATAAATACCCGAGAACCTGAACATGAGGCGCTCCAGCACATCTCGTGCTTCGACCAGCAGCCGTTTGGCTTCGACTTTGGCCTTGGCTTGGCCGCAGAACCAGAATCAGAGCGCAACTTTCACTCCAAGGTACTGGCACTGGAAGAACCAGCAGAGCCAAGTGAAGGAGGCACAAAAAGGGACGGGCACTAGTGGGATCAACATCAACACAGATGAAGATAGAAATAAGCAGAGCACAAGCGGGCAAAGTACAGAGGCATCAGCATGGCATTGCTTGTTCATTTTTGCACAGATCAGCTGCTCTAAGGGGCGAAACCTCCAGTTCCAAGCTGTTCTGGCGTCTTCTCTGGAGCTCTGCAGCCTTGTGATCCTGCGGGTTTCGGATATCTCTGGAATTCTTCAAGGCAGCTCCGTTGGCCTTATGGAAACTCCTCCTCATCCCGCAGCTCCGCGAGCTCACGCTGCAGCTCCACCTGCCTAACAGCGCTGGCACCAGAAATGGAAAAACACACCCCGACTTACATTCAAAGCACCTCTTCCTAGTAGGAAGAGCACTACTTGTAACAAATTCAGAGCGCATAGCCACCACTGAACCGCAACACGACGCCGCAAACCATCTCAAAGAAACTAGTCCCAGCCCTCGCACCTCACGAGTTGCAGGCACAGCGCCTGGCAAAGACCCTTTGTATGATTATGAGCCTGTGCCACTGGACAAGCCTCAAACTAGACGCAGTCCGTGCAAGATCTGCCGCAATGACATGATAGCGGTGCTGGTCCCCTGACGCATGGTCCCCAGGTTTCTAGCACTTCTGCGACACCCTGCAACTACGTCGCAGTGACATGTCTTGATTTGGCAAAAACTTGCCTGGCACTGTGGCGCTGCTAGGGCAGCAGAACCAGCAAGTGTTTGAAGGCGATTGGCTTCCTGTGCCCCGCTTCAGAAAACTGACATTGGAAGTAGTGTCGAGAATCCTTTTGAACCTTTGGGAAGAGAGACAGCAGCATTCTAGCCTGATACTGAATCCACTGCAAGCCCACAGAGTATCAATGGCGCTTTCTGTTGAATCATGCAACCCAAGCCACAAAGTAAGCCTTCCTTTATGTCTCAGAAGCTTCGAGTTGTGGGCCAACACAGCATAGATACTACCAGTACAGTACATGTGTTCGTCTGGCATGCAACGGCAACAGCACAGCAAGAACAACAACGATGACGACAACAACTACCACAACGACGACAGCGGCGACAATGATGGCGATAAGGAAAACGAACACAAGACAACAAGCACGACAGCCAAATGATGCGGATGAGGGTAATGACGAGAAGGACGATAACAATGCCGACGTCAGCAAATGCATCCGAAGTGAACCTTGTCCAGGCCGCAGGCTTCCAGCAAGGACATCAGCTTCTGACCTTGTATTCTGAGGCCACGATTTACATCAACACAGAGAAGGTCCCTAGACGCCATGGATCAGGGGTACAATTGCAACCTTGCAATTCGGACCTGTCTTCAGTATAGCGGTTGAGCAGGCCACGCTTAAACCGGCCGAAGGAAGCTTGAGGTACTAACTTTATGCAGATTGTGGATAAAGATGAACGAAGTCATGGGTGGCTGAAGTTCACGTAAGAACGCATTTTGCCAGGATATGTGTATATCCTTTACCGTCTCAACGCTGCAGAAGTCACAACCCTGCTGACACGTGAAAGAGACCAGAATTATTTTCATTTGCACTTACATAACTCTGGCGCTGCCTGTTGCCCTACATGCCATCGCATAACAATGTCAACTGTATGGCACGTGAACTCAAAACTCCACATCCAATTCGCTTCAATGATTGACCAGAACACTGCTTCTTGGAAGGAACTCAAGATAACTCCAAATGCATCCTTCACTCCTGAACTTCACAGGGAAAATCCAGGCTCCAGGCGCTTTGCGCCACGGCGCGCGGCACCGGCCGTCGGCTCGGTCATGGTCATCAAGAAATGCTTATGACTTATGAGAGAATCACCAGCCTTCAAGCGATGCCATTCGAGCGAAGTGCTGTGGTTACCTTTGGTGCCTTTCCACAAGCTCCCCTTTCAATGCCAGCCGGTCCCATAGCTTAAGCCATCAAGTTCCAGCAGACATTCTGAGGCCAGCTTGACCCTGGCCTAAACGAAAGACAAAATGCCCCAGCCTTCAGAGATTCCAAAGGCTGTTCAGGACATTTTCCATCTGCCAGACGCTCGCCGGTCCAGACACCACCGGGCAAAGAGGCGAGCGGCCCAAATTTAGTTTTTTGGTCTACAAGCTGTGTCTTTTATGGAGTCTTTCCTGACCTTGTGGCCCTATTGACCTTGTGAAAAGTTTCAACTGAAATATAGCCCGCTGCATCTCCTTCCTCCATGGCAGGGACCACTTAGCCCTTGCAACCACGGATCTTCCGCAGTCGCATCAGCTCGTGGCAATGCTGGCTAATTACGGAGGATCTTTTAGACAGGACCGTCTTGTAGCCTGCGCCAGCCCACACGAGCTTGGACCGCAAGTTGGGGGCCCGCGTTCGGGTCTGACTTCTTGGGCACCGGGCGGGCAGCCTAAGTTCAGGTCCTTGGAGCCCTCAGCAAGAAGTGATCAGCCATGGTTCATGGACTGACACTGACAGCGCAGAGGAAGGCACCAGATATGGAGACCAAAATTGCTGCTGAAATGCATCAACATACAGGCAGCAGGTGCCCAAACAGTTATTCTGCCAACCTACCTCCACGGTGCCTGTATGAGCGCAAACACAAAGCCCACCGGTTGCATTTGCAAGAGGGGCCATGATGAAATGCCACGCAAGCGTAGAGCCCATGTCATCCTGGAGAACTGCCAGGCCAAATGAACACCGACTCTTTGGAAACGTACGCATGCTCGAGTTCAGGATTGTATGCAAAGTTTGCATCCGTACTACCATGACCTTATTTACAGAGCGCTTTGGGAGAAGCTGCTGCGCGAAAGAGGGCCTTGCCAAATCGCAATGAGCACACGGATATTGCCGCGCACCCTCGCCACGCTAGGCTTCCAGATCTGGGGCGTTGCTTTGATCCTCTTTTCAAGCTACTTGGAGATACATGAACGAGACCATCACAAAGTGCATCCAGATAGCTTCCCGTTCAAACCCAGGTCTGCCGCATGCCGTTCCGGGTCGCACCCTCACCATGACACGTTCTCCGCGTCTGCCTGGGCTTGGGGGCCATTTATGGGGAACACTTTCAGATTGTCTCAGGTGGTACAGTTCTGTCGGTTTGCTGTAGCCTGCGGAGTTTTGTGAACAGCTGTGAGACATCTTGCCACCACGGCATCGTCAGGTGCTGTACTGTTGGACGACTTTCATGGCTGCTCAGAACAGATGCTTCACCTTGGGTAATGCAACTGATGGCGAAGAACCTCCTTGCTCTTGCAGCTTTTGGATCAGCACTCTTAGGGGTGAGGCAGGGTCAGGCCGCTGGACGCCGAACCCACTTGTTGGTAGAGGCGTTGAACTCGAGCTGCCCTGGCAGCACCACATCCGCAGAAACATATCTGAAGCTCATGTGGCATGGAGTTTGGACCCCGCATTTGCAAT